GACAGCAAGTTTCAATAGCTTTAATTAGAAGTGCAACTTTTAGAGTGTTGTAGAGATAGAAGTGCAACTTTTGTTTTGTGATGTGTTGGTAGTTGTAGTTTCCCTGTGATGCAGGCTTTTGTGAACAAATATGGCAAAGGGCCTTTTTTTTTATCAAGAAACATTGTCTTTCTCTCATAGGATCATTAATTTACATATATCATAATTTCCTCTTGTGTTTTCATTGTACATATTCTCTGTAATTGGATTAATTTTCAATACATAAATTCTATTTCTGTTAAATTAATTTATTTGGTTTGTTAAGTGATCTCAGAAGGATCTAGGAGATTGACATGTACAGTTGTAGAGATAGACTTGCTTAAAGATAGTATATAGTAAAGACTGATTTTTCCTTGAAAGTGGGAGAGAACATGTAGGAAAATTACAGCACCATAGAAGTCAAAATCAGCTCACAAGTTAGATGAACTCTAATGAATGTAATTTCCTGGGTATTGTAGGCCAATAAATCTTACTATAAAATTATTTATGTATAAGTTGACACAACAAAAGTCACATGCAAAATGTATTCTTACACCCTCCTCACTTTCTTTAAAATTAAGAAGAATATATTAATAATCAGGTTATGTGTAAAACATTGGACCAGTACTATTTTCAGAACTCAATATTATTTTTGGATTGTTATTGTAATGTATTTCCTGAACATTCACCCTTATTAATGAATAATTTAATTTTTTTATTTCTTTACAGCATCTAAGAAATTGCCTTGTAATCACATTTTCCATACATCGTGTCTGAGATCTTGGTTCCAAAGGCAACAGACATGCCCCACCTGCCGACTCAACATCTTGCGGACTCCCACTGCCCCCTCACATGCTCCTCCTCCACAGCCTGCAGCCGCTCCTGCAGCTGGGGGCGCTGCTGGGCCAGCACCTGCAGGTGTGGCCCCACCCGGACTGGGTATGGCACCAATTCCACGTACGTTTCTGCATTTTTGGCTCCCTGTTTGGAGATTTGGAATTACTGTTCTTTTGTCTTTGCGGAAGTGATTCATTCCATTAGAAATTTTATTATTGTTTGTTTAAATTCTGGAATTTATATTTGCAGAAAGTAAATGTATAACCCAAACGATTGATTGAACACTGTGGAGCCTTTTGCTTAGAATAATTTGATACTTGGGATATAGAAAATAATGAATGTATAGTGAACACAGTAGTCCAGAAATGACTGCCTGTGTTATGATTATTTTTGGGTGTTGTTTGAAGGCATTATTTTCTTGTATGACTTATGATTATGTTGCTGCAGTGCTTATGTTATAACCCAAAAAGAAAAAAACATTCGTTACTGGGAACATGGCGATAAGTATGAGCTGCTGAGAGGCTGTAATTTTCTTTTAAGTTCATTTGTTAACAATTTTGAAAGATCAACTTTTTGTGAAATTTCTTGTCTAATAATGAGCATTCTTACTTTCGACATGAAATGGATATTAAATTATTTTTAGTGAAAAATAAACATATTGTCAATTTAATTTTACCAGCAAATTTAGCAATTACATTTTACCAGGCCCTTGATTTGCACACCACTGCCATTTGCATTTTCTTATAGTACAAACCTAAATTGATTATTATCTAAAATTGAAAATTTATTCATTGATTTTTTATTTATTTTTCATATTTGTGGGTTTGAGATTCTTGAGAAAAAAGATGAAGGTTATAGAAGGTCACATGCTTTTAATGTGAAATGTAATTGGAATGTAACTGTTACTTACTTCGAGATATTCATGAATGAATGGTCAGAAACGGGTAATTCTTCCTTTATTGTTATTCATGTGTGAAGTTTTAAGAAGTAATAAGGCTTTTTAATTTCTTGGCATGTTATTTCAGCTGTTAATTTGTATTTCTATAATTTTGTAATAAAATTGAGCTCCAATATGAAAAAACTTAAATTTAATTGACTTTAAATCTAAGCAAAAGCTTGTGCTATTAAGAGTCAACAATCATTCATAGAGAAAGTTACTAAAACGATTGAGATGAAATTATGAATTTTAACGTGGGACTTTCTGTTTCAGCTGGTGTGAACCCCTTCCAGCCTTTCGGCGGGCCAGGTCCTATCTGGCACATGTGGCAGCAAGCAGCTGCCGCAGCAGGTCAGAGGGCTGGAGATCAGCAACAACAGCAACAGCAACAGCAGCCAAGGCAACAGCAGCAACAATCTTCAGGCAGCGGCTCAGGTAACTTTTTTATTTTTTTTCCCCCATGCTGACACATGTTGAAATTTGTATTACTCATAATTTACCTTTGTTCCTCATTGTTCAATGAGTTTATTTTAGAGACTTCTGTTTTGAAAATTTATAGTTTTTGAAAGGAAAGTGCAGGTTATTTTCAAAATATATTACAAAATTTAAAAAATGAAACAAAAAGTTAACCTCTTGGTAGTGTATTGAATTAATGCTTTATTTTACATGGTGAGACTCAGGCAATCAAGCCCGCTCTTCCGTATGACCATGCAAATTTCGCTATGTTCCTTTCACCAACTAGCAGAGAAAGGAGGTATTTCTTGGGCGACGATCAGGCGATTTGAATTTAGCTCAGAGGCGTCATTCAGGCTTGAGGATCTTTTACATGCAAGTAAATCTA